CATTCCCTGGGTGGCACCTGAGCACTGGCATATGGTGGCTGAACACTCCTTTGGGAGGAGGTTCAGGAATTGCCATGCAATGAAAGTTACCCACTACTTCTTGCAGTGCACGAGGTGAGGATCAGCAGAAGTTACTTGCCAAGGCAAGATAACTGTCTGCTGTGTCTTGCTGTCAAAATGGTTCCTAGATGTGTTTCTCTGGCCAGATGTGGAGGTGAATTAATGCCCCAGTGGCTTCTGTGACTGGGGCATGGCCTCCTGAACACCATTTCAGTTCTTGGGAACAGATCGCCCTAGTAAAGTGAAGTTCATAGAATCATAGAATGGTTTGGGTTGGAAGGGACCTTAAAGCTCATCTAGTTCCAATCCCCCTGCCATCAGCAGGGACACCTTCCACTAGACCAGGTTGCTCAAAGCCTCATCCAACCTGGCCTTGAACACTTCCAGGGAGGGGGCAGCCACAGCTTCTCTGGGCAACCTGTGCCAGTGTCTGACCACCCTCACAGTGAAAAATTTCTTCCTAATATCTAATCTAAACCTGCCCTCTTTCAGCTTAAACCCATTTCCCCTTGTTCTGTCATTAGCTGCCCTTATGAAAAGTCCCTCCCCAGCTTTCTTGTAGCCCCTTCAGGTACTGGAAGGCCGCTATAAGATCTCCCTGGAGCCTTCTCTTTTTCAGGCTGAACAGCCCCATAGACAACATAGTTCACCATAGACACCAGTACCACCCCAGACCTCCGCTGTTAGCTGCTCCATGGGCAGCCAACCTGCTCCCACAGCTCTAACCACACTGGCTCCTCTACTGAGCATCAGCCCGGCCTCGACGGCAGCGCACGCCGGGACGCACAGAGCATGGCTGGCGCTTGTAGCGGTACCTGCAACGAGCGGGAGCAGGGAGGGGCGTTGCAAGGCAGGCTGATGCAACAGCTACCTGCTTTTGAAATGCTCTGCACCAGGGGAGGTGGACAAACCAGCTGTATCTCCAGCTGCTGGGGAAGCGGGACAGAGCTGCAGTGAACGTGGCCTTTGGCTGGCACAGCAGCCGTGCTGTAAAGCCCCCTGAACACAGAGCCCAGCTCACAGCTCCAGCTGGAGACAGGGATGTCCCAGGACCAGAGGGGCCTGTCTGAACCAGCCCCATCCCTGCTGGAGGAAAAGGGCCCAAATCCCTTCCCTGATATTGGTCTGAGGAAGGAGCACCAGGGCTGTGGTGGCTGCTGGGTTCAGACCCAGCAGAGGTTCCACCAGAAAAAGAGTACTGGGAGGAGTGGGATGATTCAGAGCATTTCCCAGTGCCCAGAGCACCTCACAGCTCTCAACTTTCTGTAATTTGGATCTCTAGCTCCACCTTCCAAGTGAGTTTTGTGGAAGCAGGACAGAGGTGCAGTGATCATGGCCTTCTGCATCTCTACTTGGCAGCTCAGCAGTGCCCTCCAGGACCTTCTGGTGCAGTCCAAAGAGACTGTGGAGCTTGGGACAGGCATGAGGAACTAGAGGATCTGCACAGAGACAACCTGGATCACACCTGGAGTTTTTGCAGGGCCAAGAGCCCTGCAGTAGGAAGCCAAGAGCCTGCAGAAGGAGGAGAGGCCAGCATTGTCCCATCTCCCAGCCTGTTTCTGGTGACCATCACTTGCACCTACAGTGAACGGTGCAGTGAGATCCCACCAGGCAGGCACACACGCCCCAGAGACCTTTATAGGTGGGAAGGGGCTTGGCAGCAGCGGTGCCATTTGCACCACGCTTGTGTCCCTCTGTGCCCTGGGTCCAGTCCTGCAGCAAGGCAGAGAGCACCTTGGTCAAATGGGGATGCTCCTCACCTTGTGCTGAGAGGAGAGAAGGAGCTGTCCTTTCTGACTGGGTGTTTGTATTGAGGACAGGAAAGTGCACATGGCTTAACAACAGTGATAATTACCAGGAGCAGAACATGGGTTCCAGGTGGTTCCTGGTGTTCACTCCCATAGCTAGGCCAACTGCTGCAGTGTGATGTGCCCAGAGAATGGGAATGATCCTTTGATTGAAGAGGTGACTGAGTTTCAGAAAGAGGTGTCATCAGCATGGTTCTTTAATGGATCTGATCTCAACACAGCCATGTGGGTGCTGCTACATCCAAGGGGAGAGCTTCTGACTTGCTATGAGTTTATTTCTCTTTTCCTGGTGTTTGAGTTTCCAAAACTTGGAAAACTCAAACCTTGCAGCAGTAAGACTAGAGTCCAAATAATGCTGGGAGATGCTGAAACCCTCCTCCAACTGCTCTTCAAGCCAGCAAGCATTGCTTACCTGTGCTTGTGTGCATCTCACAACTAGATCACACTTGGTGCTTTCTCGCTGTGTCCTCTGGTATTAACATTCTACTTCCTAGGTTCCTTCTACCTCCACCTCATCCCTTGCCCTTTCCTTTTCTTGCCACCTCTCTACTTCTTTCTGTCTCATCTGCT